CCGCCCCTGAGCCTCTGGCCTGTACCCCAGTTCTGTATGCACAAATAAATAAATCTTAAAAAAAAAAAAAAGCAGATTATTTCAAGTTTAGAGGAGCAGGATAGCACTCAGAAACTTATTCCCTTGCCTTTTTCCCCGAATCCAAGAAGCACTCACTGCTCTACTTAGAGGAATGTGGCTTGTTGGTTGGGGATGGGAGGGGGTGTGTTGGGTCCAGGTCTAAGTGTATTAATGAACTTATCCTCTGTCTCTCTGAGAATCTCACCTTTACTCTCAGAATCAGGATAGGGTCACCCCTTCTATCCTGCCCTGTGAAGCTCCCCCTCTCTGTCCCTGACATTCCAGGTCCTTAAATGCAGGATAAATCTCCCTGGTCCATCCATTATTCTTCAGAACCTACAACCACATTAAGTTCAGCATCTCTATGTTATCACCTGTTGGTCATTTCTCCTACTAGTCTCTCTTATGTTAATTTGTTCCTCCATCCAACCTTAGAAGAACCAGATGGGCTTTGGGGATTTCCCCTGTGTTCCCACAGACGTAATAGTTTTGCATATTTCTTTTACAAATGTTCATATTTGAATGCTTATGGACTTCCAAAACAATTGCTTCTCGGAAAACATTCAGTGGTTTTGATTCTGATAAAGCCACGCCAGGACTGTGAGGAGCTGGAGAACAGAATCGAACAGAAGCTCAGGGCCACCATTCCTGAAGCCCCGAGTGGCCCGCAGGACTCGCAGAGCCTGGAAACACCAGCCTGTTGCCCTGCATGGTGTCACCCGTGACCCCGCGGAACAGGGCAGCCGCTGATGGCCTTGCTGTGAAAGTGAACAGCGTGGCATTTCCACACCCATCGCCCCTGGAGGGCTGGGGTGCGGAAGCCAGCCGTAGCCACAGCCAAAACTAACTGATGAATAATCTCTAGACTCAAAAAGTCTCTGCGCGCCAGATGCCTCCTCGGGTCCCATCATCAGCTGAGACGTGGGGATGGAGCCCTGAGCCCCTTCCCGGCTGGGCACGCGGCTGCACGGCTGGCGAGAGACGAGCCTGGTCCTCGAGCCGAGATCAGCGTGGGGAACAGCATGAGCCACTTGTCACCAATAAAGAAAGGGCTGTGGCCTTGGTCAGACTTTCCGGGAGATCGACTTGGGCCTGATGGGCTCCACCCTGATGGACACGTTGGCTCCCGGACCCCTCCAGTGCCCAAGGAGCAGCCCAGGAGGAAGAGTGGCTGCCCCCGGTCTGCGGGCACTAGCATGCGACCAGATGGCTCACGTGACCAGAGGTGAGGCTGGGGATGATGTGTTTCTCCTTTGAGGATGTTTCCTAACTAGCGCTCCCCATTAAGAAAAAGCTCACCCATTAATTTATAATGTCTTAAACACCAAAGAGCTTCCTCTTTGACATTCCATAGTGACTAGAGAACAATGTAAACAAGGGAAGTCCTGCCTATTGGTGTCCATCTGGGGGGCCCCATGTATAAAAGCCCCAGAACAGGAGGGTCCTCATCAGACTCTGGGAACCTCACCTGTGACCAGGAGCCCACCATCCACCCCGACACCATGGCCTGCTGCTCCCCGTGCTGCCAGCCCAGCTGCTGCCAGACCACCTGCTGCACCACCAACTGCTGCAGGCCCAGCTGC